AAGTCTTTCATCAGAAGTATAAAACAAGTAATAAAATGGATAGAAGATTTCTGAAACAAATCATTTCCTTCTTCTCTGGAGGGAGAATTGGGAAGGAGTGCAAATAAAAAAGAAATAAAGGCCATGTGGGGAGCCCACACATATGCAAGTCAAACCTTTTTAATGGCGAGCCATCATAATTTCCGATGTAGTAAAGTATTTTTTCCCTTGGCATAAAATCATGGAATATTTGAGTTGGAAGTGACATTGGAGATCATATACTCTAGCTTCTTCATTGTACACGGGAGGAAATTCCTTTAGCACTAAGAACACTAAGCTTCATGAAGCAAGTGATTGCTGATTCAGTAAAAAATAATCTAACTCCTGCTCCTGCCTTGTAAGAAACTTATTTTTCCTGTGCCATGCTGCCATTTGCCAGGAAAAGAAAAGGAAAGATAATATGTAGCCTTTTGAGTGAGAGGTAAGATCTTCGGCATTTTTGAGCAGCAAGCATTTCCTCAGTATTCATATGAAGGGCAAGAATGGAATCTGGAATAATATGATTGTTAAAAGTCAGTAATGACATATATTAACATACAGTCCATTGTTGAAGTAGAACATGAAGAAAAGTTTATAGCACAAATTCTTCATTTTTCTAGAATCATGGACCTCTGGGAATTCCTTATTTTCATAAGCATAAGATTTATTTATTCATTTTTATAAATAAGTAAGAGTGTATTTTAAGAGAGTAGTTTTATTTCTCTTTATATCTCATATATCTATACTATTATTTTAAGTTGTTTTTCAGATAGCACTAGAAAATAAGCAATCACTTTGACTTCTCCCATTTTTTCAGCAGTAACTATCACTGCATCAGGACTATTTGTGTGAATTAAACTGTGAATGCATAGACAAAACACACAATGCCCCTGCCTTTAAGAAGCGGGGAGTGGAGGGGGGAATGGGCCCCTGTGTCCTAACAGAGTGAGCAATCCTGATGGCTAGAATGCAGAAGTTACGAAGAGAGTTAAGACACAGAGAGTACGGTATGCCGTGGTGGGACATGGGTTGGTAAATATTTGTGACCCTGCAGCTTTGTGGGCCAGTCAGAGGAGTTGGGACCTTACCCAGGGAGCCACTAAAAGTCTGTAGCAAGCGAGTGTCTTAGGTAGCAATGGTCACCTAAGACAGTGAGGAGAGTAGATGCCTTTGCACCTCTTATCAATGGGAGCCGATGAGAGGAGGAAGAAACGTGTCCATCAACCTTTCGAAGGAAATGTGGACCAAAAAGAAATTACCGAAAGGCCTGGGAATTCCCAGTATCTTTCGGCAGGAAGAATCTCCTGAAGATTCTTTAAGGGAGACAACTGCTAACATCTGAGTGTTAACTTAGTGAAGAAACTGACTTCTAAGGAAACTAGGCACAACTGGGAAATTCCTAATGACATGAGTTCCCTAAGCCTGTACCTTCTCTCACCTGACTGCATCTGGCTTGATACTGTATGAGACATTTATGGGTAGCAAACCCAAGACTGAATAATATATATAATGGAATAAAAGCTGGACATGAAGTATACCTAATATGGACATCAAAATAAGATTCAAATAAGTGTAAAGTAAAACATGCAACACAAAGATACCATTTTACCAATAAGAAATTCAACTAAGAAGAATTATTTGGTACCATTTCAAAACCTCTTAGTGAATTGCATCCTAATGCTTTAAGCAATAATTCTGTTCTTTTTGCATATCAACATGATTTGATTTTTATATTGTACCTAGTTCTTTCTATACAAAGTTAACTTTACTTTTGTCCCCAGACACTTTTGTAAATAGGATGAGAGTCTCAAAGGTTTTAATTATCTTGGCTAAATAGTAGTTACGAGTATTTCTAACACTAGTACTCAAATTCTAATTATCTTCTCAAATTGGATTTTGCATTTTTTTCATTGAATCTCTCTTGAATCCACAGTTTTAGGTGATAATCTGGAAATTGTATCATTCTGAGACTGTGAGCTGGGATTTAATATCTACTAAAAATGTAATATGATTTTAGGAAGCAGTTACATTATTAAGCTGGTTTTGGTAACATATTCTTAAACGTAATGCACATCACTAAAAATAAGCGAAAAAATCAAATTTCTCACTATCATTTTTTCTCATATTCACTAAATGGTGATTTTGCTATATGCTTAAGAGGTTTTAAATGATAATGTAAAGTCTCTTGTAAATTCTAGGGTTATTGTAAAATAAAACTCACAGATTTCTTATTATTCCTTTCCTCAAATTCAGAGACTGTTAATGTTATTATATGCTGAAAAGCTTTTAAATGATTTAGAGGGTGTTTTATTACTAATTTTTAGGACTACTTAAATTGCATCTACCATTAAAATTTGTAACAAAACTCAGGCTAGCTATTACAGGACAGCATTTCAGCTAAGTAGGTTGGGTAATGAAAAAATTGAAATATGCAGGTATATGTTCTTACAAACATACAGTAATTATAGTGAATAAAATTACAATGTATACTCTTCTTTAAATAGAGATGTTCCATGGACTATTTTCAAAGTATCCAAATTTCCCAATTAAATGATATAGTAGCAAGCACATGAAAAAGACAATTATTGTACTGTTCTATGATGAAAAGGAAAAGCAAAGCTTTTTACACAATTTCAAAAATATATTCTGTGTGGGAGCAAAGTTAAATGTTAAAAAAATAATCTATGTGGGAGAAAATCCGAATGCCCGCAAGGAGAGGCAGCGTGGGCTGGGACACCTCCTTGGAAGCCAGACGTCCCTGAAACACAGCGAGCCAGTGCTGCTGTGCTTCTTTGCTTTTCGTCAAGGATAGAGGGTGACATCCACCATCTTGGTGAATTCCCAACAGGTATAACATGGGTGGACCACCCATCCGGATGGGTGGTCCAGATGCCACTAGATTAGACAAACCTGGGCTAAGGGCTGGTGGAGACTGACTGAACTGAAGCCTTTTTCTTCCTTTAGGTGTGTGATCATGTAGCTCAGTGTGGCCTGAGATCTGTCTCAGAATGTTCTTGATCGTATCCCACAACACATCTGGGTCCCTGGTGACAGTAGCTAAATCTCTAAGCCTATTCGTCTTACATGGTATATATTCTACTTAATCTCTTAATGTCTCTCTTACACTGTGGTCTGCTGTCACCAGGCCTGAATAGTTCTACCTCTCAGTACTCTTGCCTCGAGTTTCAAGTGGCTCTTTCCTGGTAGTGACAGCCTCATTCACACTGGGACTGCCCAGCGGATTCCTGTCACTGGACCACCAGGACTTGGTGGTGAGCAGAAACCCTAAGATTCAGTCATAACCCTTATTCACCCCTCATTCCTGATGCTGAAGGTGAACATGAAACAGTATTTTCTAGTTATCTAAAAGTTTTTATTCACTCAAAGTTGTAGAAGAAATACTAACTTGCATATTATAGAATTCTGAAAAACTGTCCAAGAGTCATAAATTGCATTTAATTTTTACTATATACAAAGGGCTTTTCCTCCCTATGGGCTAAAGCAACACAAAAATGAGATGAGTTTGGGAGATGACTTTATTTCTTTGCCGACTATATATTAATAATGCAATATATCACTTTTATTAATCCTTTTGTAATGAACAGCATTTTTAAAGTAGAAGATAAGGTGGACTTGTCACCAAAAAATGAAACAATCCATATTTCAGGCTACTACTTTTGTTCTTGCTTTGAAATCACAAAGTAGACATTTTGTCAAATGTCCACAGACTCCCTGGTTTGACAAATGGTATTTTACTCTCTGTCCTTCTCTAAGACATTTTTACCATTTCTGTTGTTCTACAATATGTCGTTCATAAAGGAGAACTCTAACAGAAAAATGTGTTACGCAAAATAAATAACAAAACCTCGAATTCCCAACTAGCTTAAATATGTAAGGCTTCACAACCTCTCAACTTCCTGTCATTGGTGGTTTTGTTGCAAGTTCTTAGGAATGTTTTGTGGTGAATTTGAAGATCACATTGTTCATTCAACTACCTTTCCCTTCCACCTTTTCCATCCCCCCCAAAAAAGCAATAGCAATTAAGCAAGGTGATAATTCTAATTATCTCTTAGCTATAAAAAGAAATGACATTTACTTTGCTGTAAAATTTTGATGGAAAAATTTATAAAGGATAAAAGTTCCACATCAAACAGGCTTTCTCTCTTTTGAAAGTGGGTCAGGTAACAAAAAGATAAATAAAATGCAGAAATTAAACTAATGGCATAAAGATGAATCAAAATGCAATCATTACATTCTAAATCGGTGAGGGCAGGGATTCACAGCACGTACATTCACTGGAAAAATGTGCCTAAGCGGGCTCTCTGAGAGACCACAAGCTCCTCATTGAGTCATGGCTGAGTAATAGCAGCAACCTGGGCTCAAAAATGCCTCTCTGTAATGTCCCTGAAAATTTTAACCTTCTGGATTTTTAAATGAATATTGTTAATTTAAAGCAAGAACTTTCACTATCAGATAACAGTGATAAATTAAGCTAAGAAAAACATACACCGAGTTTGAAAATTTCTGCATGAATATAACAATTTCTAGATTAATACCTCCTGCTCCCTTTTTGATGGTATTCTTGGTTTGTCTAATTTCTTCACCTCACAGCATCACATGACCTGACTTGTCTTTTGTTCTGTATTGTCCAGAACTAGATAAAGAGGAAACTAATTTCTTAAGGCTTTTCTTTAATCCTTCTGTCTTTCTTTATCTGCTCTGTAACAGCTTTAAAATTAGCTTATCACAATAGCTATTTCGTAATGGGTAAACCTGTCTCCCCATGACATTATCTGGAATGCTTGACTTAAGCAAACTAATTCATCTGACTCTCTGAAGCACAGAACTTGATTTCTTCCCTTCCTATCGATCAGTAACTCATTCTTATTCAACCAACATACAGACTCTCTGCCCAAGCATGCATTCTTTTGTTCACATTAGCTCTTTGGCTCATTACCAACTTCATGGAGAGACGAACTTACCCAGCACACACCATCCCCTGAACCCGCCGCTCCTGATAGGCATCCCCCAGCCTTTTCTGTTGTGTAGTACTTAATCTCCGCTGTGGCCGTCACGGTTCCATCACAGTAGACGTTGACACTGACGGAGCCGGCAGGGAAATCTTATAAAACACAAAAATAGAGTTAGAAATTGGGTATGTAACGTATGTCTCACATTCTATATCTCTTTGAGAACATGTAGGAAAGCTTTAAGAATGTGTACCAATTTTATTAACTACTAGCACTTATGTTTTCTTGTTTATCCTTAAAAGTTAGAAGTCACAAAATAGAATGTATAATTTTAGACTTGTTTAATAAAATTACAAGATGATAAAGTTTATTTTTAGCACATGATAAAATGTATTTTTGTTGTTCAAGTACAGTTGTCTCCGTTTTCCACATGATAAAGTTATCTTTTAAATTATATTTTATTATGTTATTACAGTTGTCCCAACTTTCTCCTTTTGGCACCTTCACCCAGCACTCCTGAGGCAATACCCCACTATTGTCCACATCCATGGGTTGTGTGTATGTGTTCTTAGGCTACTCCATTTCCTAAACTATACTTCACATCCCCATGACTTTCCCTGTAACTACCTGTTTATACTTCTCTTTTAAAAATGAAACAATGGTTTTATTTTTTCCTCTCAAAACAGCACATTTTTTTTAAATCTCTGAAGCCACACCTGCTATTCACATAATGAGAAGAGTTAGTGTTTAGTAATTATGTCCACAGCTGAAAAGTTTTCTAAATCCTGCTTGGCATGAATTAAACTTGAGTGTGCTAAGACACACCTTTTTTGTGTTCGAGAATGAAAAGAAGATTGAGGATGCTCAGTTGACTCTTTAAGACATATTTTCCTCACAGAGTTGAGAAACCTCAGCGATAGTAGTCACGTGATAAACTGTACATGCATTTCTTTGTTACGATATGTTTCCCAGTATGGAAGCATACGTTGCCCAATACATGGAGCAAAAGGCTCATTTCTTTTAAAAATATCATTATAGTATCATTACATTTATAGTTTTATAGATAGAACAATCATAGTTTCCAGGAGCTTTGAAGAAAACAGTTCTTTTCTACACTCTTGAAGAAGAGTGTTTATGTTGGTGTGTGTTATTTTAAAAGATATTTCCTGGTCTCAACATAAAACACGATAATATATGAAGTATGTTTGAGTTCATGCTATGTATTTAAGGCTAGCTAATGGTATAGAGGAAGAATTGAGTAGCAGTTTAAATTGAGGTTCGTTCTACATGTCAGAAAGTAGTGGACAAATGTAGTCAGTTTAAGTGTTCATTTTAAGCTTTAGGTTACGCCCAAAAGTATCTACTGCCATTCACTTTGTTTAGATTTATTCCTTTTTGTAACATGGAACTTGTTGTTATACTTGTGTGTATGGTTCAGTTTGAATAGAAGTTAAGAGCTGGATAAATATTGTGGTCAGAATCAGAAGCAGGCTTAGATGATCATGTTTTGCTCTAATGCTTGTACAGAATTTTTTTTATTTCAAAAAATTTTAATTGTTGTTCAACAGAATTCCATATTATATTTGTACTCTTTACTCCCCTGTCCTCTTCACTCAAGGCACTAAAGCCTTTCTCCCTAACAACTAACCTCTATTTAAAAAAATAATCTATGATCATCTTTGCATAATACTTTATAGTTTAGGACAGTAAAGTTGCTCATGAAAAGTTAGATATTTGTTACTACTCTCATGAAGAAAATTACCTAAATTATAGTCAAGTTTCTCAAAATTGTGTTTGAATAGGGAAAGAGTAAAGTTGATTGAAATGAGAGACATTTTATTCAATTGATTATAACGAAAAATCCCTTTGGGAAGGCAAAATTTAGTGCCCTGATATTTGAGTACTAGTTACAGCTACATCATACATTTTAATTTAATCAAAGCTTTTTGTGAACAAGCTGTTTAAAGTGACTAATATATTCCATTGTGAATTCTGATCTAACATACGAGCAATTCAAGTTATCTGAGAATTTGGGGCTTCCCAGGAAAGAATAACAATAAACAGTCATTTCAATAGAAAAGTCATATTTTATTGTAACAAAGGTAAACATAATTTATCTTTTTCAATTCATTGTCAGAACACAGTTTTAAAACTTTCAATCTTTGTCTCAGAGACATTCCCCAAATTCTCCTGAAAATTTTTCTGGGGTTTGGAATTAGACATTAAACATAAGACTAACTAAAAAGCTAGTTTTAACCCTAAGCCCCTAATGAAGCTTTGAATATTTAAAAGTTCTTAAAGTTTAAGCATTAATTTTACTTTATCTCCTGAATGGGTTGAAGGACCTTATAATATTGCTCAGAGTAATCTAAAGCCAACAAAAGCAATTTTAAGCCTTACTAGATGAAGCTAAATGAAATTTCCTACCACCATATTGCTTGAGTAGACACTTGTATTTTAAAGGAAATAAAACAGAAAACTTCCCTCTTCCCAAAATAACTATCTGTCCAATAGCGAATGGAAGAGAAATCACAACAAAAAACTGAAAGCTGTAAAGTACTTCTCATCAGTTCAGCGGCATACACGTGGTAATGAGGGCTCTGCAGTTGTTGGACTCAACTGAAACGAATTTCAGTACATTTCATAAGGATGATTTTAAATGAAGATATGGATGTTTATCAGAAAAGAGATTAGGGGTCTTACAATGGGATTTTAATTTTCTGAAAGAAAGCAGATGATACATCATAAAAGAGATATGGTGAGATCTTTCTGCTGGTTCTTTGACATATATTATCATATATATTTATCACTCTCTTATTTTGTCACTCTCTTGATTTACCTTGCTCTCCATCTTTGGGAATGGTGGTTTGCCCCACAACCATAGTTCTTAATGAACTCAAGAGAAGAAATTTATTTTCAGTTTGTTCAGCTTTCTCATGTTGTAAGAATGGGAGTGACAGTCCAAGTTCTGCGTGACAGGCCAACACCATTATTTTAACTATTGCTTTGAAAACCTTTGTTTTAATTATGGATTTATGCACATGTGCTGGGTCATGATACAAAATATAGTTCTTGCTAGGGCTCAAAAACTTTTAAAGATTTTATTTATTTATTTTTTGAGAGAGGAGAAGGGAAAGAGAAAGAGAAGGAAAGAAACACTGATGTGTGAGAGAAACATTGATTGGCTGACTCTAACGCGCCCCCACCTGGGGACCTGGCCTGCAACACAGGCATGTGTCCTTACTGGGAACTGAATCAGCAACCTTTTGGCCCACAGGTTAGAGCCCATCCCGCTGAACCACACCAGTCAAGGCAAAGCTCAAAAATTTTAAGTAACAGTGCCACAAGGCAGAGAAAATAAAACTCTGGGGTCATGTCTGCAGAAGCATGTCCCATCCATATTCTCAAACACACTCATAGGGTCAGTCTGTATTGCTAAACACCACAGAGCAGACAAAATTTCATAGGAAAATCTCTCATTAATTTACAGAATAGTTGACAGAAAGACTTTGAGAGGTTTAATTAGCATAAGTAGTAAATAGTGATTTATTTTTTTTACGACAAACTTGCTGTTGAACTACATAGACGTATTATGAATTAGTATATTTTGAAAAACATTTTCTGCTTTTCTGAAAAACCTTTGAACTTTGATATGTTTTATTCTTTGCGCTGCTTTTAGCTACTAGGTAAACTGAATATAAAATCTTTTTTTAATTATTGTTCAATTATAGTTGTCTCCATCCCCCCCCTTGCTCTCCCATGCCTTACCCACCCACACCTCCCACACTCAATTTCGCCCCTCCCTCGCGTTTTTGCCTGAGGGTCCTTTATTCTTGTTCTTTGAGGACCCTTCCCCTTCTTTGCCCTGTTATCCCCCTCCCTCATCCCCTCTGGTTACTGTCAGTTTGTTCTTTATTTCCATGACTGTGGTTATTGTGAGTAATTTTATTGGACATTTCGATCTGCTATTTGGGAAATATTACCTAAGTATTTCTTAACTTGAAATATTGATTTTTTCTGTATAGTGATTTTAGTCTAACTAGATTTAGTTTAAACTCCAAAATTAATTAGTTAGAAATTAGTCTTCATTAAATCATTTTAAACTGTGGCATAAGGAAGTAAGGGTCTTTGGAAAAGGAAGAAAGACAAAGAGAGTTCTTTTTCATCTCACTCCTGCATATCCTTGTACGTGAGAAGAAGCCCCGTCTGAATGTTTACACGTGCTCGGTGTGGAGTCTTTCCTTTCTATAATCGAACTTTCATCTCAGCTGTGCAAGGAAATCCACAGAGGGGACACGTGCTTTGGGCAGCATAATAGAGAAGGTTTGCAGATGCTGTGTAAGTGGACTTACTTCATAACAGGTACATAAAAAAGCTCAGGATGCATTTGAAATACTGTTTACTTTTACATATTTTTACATTTCCAAAATTTGTAGTAAGTGTTCAGCTTCATAAATTAAATTAGGAAAAGGAGGGAAGATTGTATATAGACATGTTACCCTGATGATAAAATACTGAAAAAGATTTATGCTTTCCAAAACAACCAAAAATATACTCAGGGGCATGACCGGAAAAAAAAAGACAAAGAGAGAGGAAGGAAGAGAGGGAGGGGAAGGAGAGAATGGGAAAGTGAGAGAGAGAAAGAGAAGCAAAACAAATTCAAAGTTCATTAAGGAAAATCCAAATATTTACTAATCCTATTACAATAAAGCTAATAATTTTAGTTCCATAATTAACAGCTAGCATATGTACAAGTGCTCTCCACTGACACACACACAAATGTGCGATGTAACTGGATGCTGTTTCACCACATGGTACACAAGCCAACTTCTCAGAATTGATGCATTTGTGCTTCTGCAAAATCAGATTAATAGTAACAACCTTGGGTGTGTGAAAGTTAACACAGGAAACACCTGCAGGACAATATTAGTTTCTGTAGGGAAATGAAACCGTGTATCATAAATTTATTGAAAGAAATTCAGGATGATGTTTTATATTTATTAAAGCATAAAAGACTTTCTTACCTAAAGCTTTCATGCACCAGACCGTTTTATTCCAAAGGGCTGGCCGTATTCTAACACGTTTGTTATATGATATAAATTCAACCTCCACAGCATCACTAATTACTTCATCTCTCAAAATAATAAACATTTCACCAGGATTCTATGAAATGAAAAATAAAACCCACGTAAGCATTTGAAAACATTTACATTAACCAAATAACTCATTGCAATTATTACTGACAGAGGCTGCATATAATCATTTTGTCTTCTATCATGTCCATATTTTCAACCATATTTAGAAAGGAAATATGTAAATGTGAATCTCATTACATTTTGAGTCTATGGACTTGGTGTTTATGAACTACCCCATTTTTTTCCAGTACCTTATTTTACAATGGAAAAGTCAGTGAGAAGGTAGCTGTTCCCTTTACCCTTGTCCCTTCCCTGTGTGTGAAGTTCCCCATCTCCTCGCAGGCCCCCAGGGAGCTGTCATTCAACCATTAAACAAACCATTCTTTTCAAAATGTTTCTTTCACCTTTCTAGAACTTGGTGTATTTATCTATAAATGGAAGGACTGACATTTAAATATGATGAGTTTTTTTAAAAATGGAAGTGTAAAACTTTTTAAAAGTCCAATAGTTTTAAATCTTAACTAAATGAGATTCTCTAGGTAGGTTATTTATGATGGATATCTGAAAAAGGTCATTGGGTTTACTAAAGTTTATAAATCTAACAGTTTAAAGATTTTCATTAAGGTAAAAAGGCTAAATCTATGTAAGGGTCTTTGAAAACTTTTTGGAAAATTTTTTGAAGTTAGTGATAAGAATATTGAAATTAAACATAGAAAGAAAAAGGTATATATTTATTAAACATTTATTTTATACTAAAACTTATTCTAAGCAAATTTTGTATAAAGTTTGTTCAATTGTAACCAAAACATATGAGAGTATACACGCATACACACATGCAAATAAATGCACAAACCAAAACCAAAATGGAAGACTATGATTTTTCCCTTTTATGAACACAATAACTAATACACAAAGATACACTTGAAGATGAATCAGAACTACATAAATTCAAAATCTGCACTCTTCTTTATATCATATTGCTTAACCCTTCAGAATAACTAAAATGAAATACAATTTTTATGATGATTTCAGATATATTCTTTAAAGTAAACTAAATTTAAGTTCCTCACAAAATGAACAGGAACCTGATTTTATGCTCTTATACAATTATGATTACCCAAAGTAATTAATTTCAAAGGTCTCCTATTTAAATATCTCCCAAAGCAAAAACCACCCACCAATAGAGCTAACATCTCTAATGCTTTGTGCCAAAGTGTTTCTACGGATTCACTGACGTTACAAAATCATTGCAGCTGACTCACACTCACTTCGGGAGTTTCCCACCAGGGTCCAATGCTCCCAAATCATATTTGTCCATAGGGTATTTTGATCTAAATTTCTCCTCCCCGATTCAGTTGCACACCAGGAAAAGATCCTATGCAGCAGAAAGAAAGAAGGAGCTTCTATACTTCACAACAACGTGGATGAAACTGGAGAGCATTATTCTAAGTGAAATAAGCCAGGTGATGAAAGACAAATGTCATATAGTCTCATTTATAAGTAGAACCTAATGAACAAAATAAAGAAGCGATCAAAATAAAACCTGGAAATAAGGAACAGATTGACAGTGACCAGAGGAGTGGGGGAGGGGGTTAATGGGGGAAAGAAGGGGAAGGGTCAATTCAAGGAACTGTTAGGCCCAGAATTAGATAAAAGTAGCCAAGAGGAACCCGAGGCAGGCTCCAGACTGTCTCAGCAAGGAAGATAGAAAGTACAGAAAGTACAAAGAGTGCTGAACAAGATAAACTGCCTTGTGCATGACCTTGTCCTTGCAGAAAAGTATCCATTGTTGCAAGCAGAGAACACAGCCATGTGTGTTCTCTCAAGATAGCCAATTGCTAACAGCTACGTCTGCTTCTGTATTTGCTTGCTTGCTCACCCCAATAAAAACCCTAGGCTGTAAGCGCCTAGGCTTTTTCCTAGGCTGCAGATTCTCATCTGCAGCCATTTTGGCACCGTGTCCTCAGACACCCCGAGAGTTCGCCCCTACGCAGGTAAAACTCTGAAACTTTGGCCAATAAAGTTCCATCTTAAACTCCTGAAAGCTTCCGACATTTTTGCTCTCATTGGGGTATGTTACAGAACAAGTATAAGGACTCATGGGCAAGGACAATGGGGGGGTTTGAATGTGAGAAGGGCGGCCAGGGCAGGGGAGAGTAATGGGAAAAAATGAAAAAATAAAAATAAAATTCCCATTTAAAAATAAAAAGATCCCATCTCCAGGGAACTACTACTATTCCTTCTCTTGCCCCAGACATCCAACATGTCAGAAACACTTCCCTGTTTTCTTCCCTGTACCTTTTCAGTGCACTACTCCATCTGAGCCCTGAGGGTCAGGACTGTGAGCCCCTCCTGTTTTTCACATCTGCAATCTCCTCTGCACAGGAACCTCAGGTCTGATGCAGTTCTTCAGTCCCTTTGTTACTCGTGTCTCTCCCCTAACTTCAAATATTTAATGACCATATTTCACTTTAGCTCAGATCTCCAATTCCTGCTTCAAATTTCTTGTTTAACTTTGAACTCTCTCCTTCAGAACCTTGTAAGCCTAAGCACCCTCTCCATTGTTTTACTCACTCAGGCAACACATTCTTACTCATGAGCGTTCGCAATGACTGCTTCTTATGCATCAGATTCTCTCCTTAAGAGAGGGCATGACTCCACATTTCAACCATTTCTGGAGAAAAGTTCTAAGCGAATGACAAGCATGTTGACCACCCCAAATGAGGCACTTACATGTTCATTTGTACACAGGGCCAGCTTCATGGCCATGTGACCTGTGCAATTGCTCCAGAGCCTGTGCCTAGCAGGGCCCTGCACTTAGTTTAATGATTTGTTGACACTACCAAGAGTGTCTGCATTTTCATTTTGCATTGGTCCCTGCTGATTAGGTAGCCAGTCCTGTCTGCATACAATGTTGGCTTGCCGTTTCATTCTGTATCTCCCTCCCTTTCTCCACACTTATCCTTTCCATCAGTGTTCAACTCAAGTTTCACTAACTCCACAGATCCCTCCTACAACTTCTGCCCACAAGGAGTTGCACAACTTCCAAAGGAATCACAAAGAATTTACACCTACACTACTTCTATGACCCTTTCTAAGTCATGCCCTCTGCTCTTAGTTACTGTTTCATGTCTATGGCTTGCTTCCCAGCTAGATTTTAAGCATCTTGAAGGTATTTTTATCTTTTTCATATCATTGGTGTATCTTGCAAGAACTTTGTACATAAGAGACAATCTATATATTTTCAAATTAAGATGAAAATAAGACTGTAAAAATATAACTTTTTAAAAATTGAGTCTGCTCTGCTCTACTCCTTATCTTCCTCAGGACTCCCACCCTCATCTGGTGCCCACATCTGCATGCAGGAAGTAGCCTGCTCCACTCCAAGAGGGAGGGACTGTGCTTGCCCAGGTTTCCCCGTAATTATTGTGTGCATCTTGACTACAGATGAAATTATATGAATACATCTAATCCCATGGAGAAAATGCTAGGATAGTCACATACTTACAAATTTAGTCTTATCAGTTATGAAGCCATTATTTCATGCTCAATCTTTTCTCTGTTTATTCCATACGTACTTCTGAGCATTTAAAGAGAGAAAGCATTATTACAATTATCACTTTCAAACTCTAATGTTTTGCTGCATGAGTGAAAAATTATGATACCTAAACAAAAGGGCTGGAACTTGGTCTTTAATATGGGTTATAGATAGTTAAGTTTCTGGTTCTGTCAGGGTGGATGTCTTTTTTTAAATAATATTTTTATTGTATTTGTTCCATTACTACTTAGTCTCCTTATACTCCCCTCTCCTGCAATCACCACCCTGTTGTCCACGTGTATGAGTCCTTTTTCCTTTTTGCTTAATCTCTCTACTCCCTAAGCTCCCCACCCCAAGCTGTCATCCTGGTCTCCATCTATGAGTCTGTCTGTATTTTGCTTGTTAGTTCACTTTGTTCATTAGATTCTGCATATGAGTGAAATCATATGGTATTTGTCTTTTTATGATTGGCTTATTTCATGTAGCACAGTGCTCTCCAGGTGCATCCATACTGTTGCAAAGGGTAAAACTTTCTTCTTTTTTACAGCCAAGCAGTACTCCATTGTGTAAATGTTCCATAGTTGTTTTATCCACTCATCTACTGATGGACATGTGGGATGCTTTCATATCTTGGCAATTGTAAATACCACTGAAATGCACATAGGGGTGCTATGTTCTTTTGAATTAGTGTTTTGGGTTCCTTCTGATATATTCCCAGAAGTGAGATCACTAGGTCAAAAGGCAGATCCATTTTTAAGTTTTTGAGGTATCTCCATACTGCTTTCCACAGTGGCTATGCCAGTCTGCATTCCCACCAACAGGGCAAAGGGGTTCGTTCCCCTATCTCCACATCCTCCCCAGCACTTGTTTGTTGATTAATTGATGATGGCCATTCTGACAGGTGTGAGATAATGATATCTCATTGTGGTTTTAATTTGCATTTCTCTGATGATTAGTGACATTGAGCATCCTTTCATATGTCTATAGTCCATCTGTGTGTCCTCTTGGAAGAAGTGTCTACGTAGGTCCTTTGCTAATTTTTTAATTGGCTGGTTTGTGGTTTTTTGGTGTTGAGTTTCTTAAGTTCTTTATAAATTTTGGATATTAACCCCTTATCAGATGTATCAGTGAATATGCTCACCCATTCTGTGGGTTGTTTTTAATTTTGTTGATGATTTCCTTTGCTGTGAAAAAATTGTTTAGTTTGATATAGTCTCATTTGTTTATTTTTTCTTTTTTCTATTGTTGGGGAGATATATCCAATAAAATATTGCTATGAGCAATGTCCAAGATTTTGCTATGTTTTCTTCTATAATTTTTAGTTTTAGGTGTACCATTTAAGTTTTTGATCCATTTTGAATTTATTCTTATATGTGGTGCAAGAAAGTGGTCTACTTTCATTTTTCTGCACATATCTGTCCAATTTTCTGAACACCATTTATTAAATAAACTATCTTTAGCCCATTGTATGTGCTTTCTTCCTCTATTGAATATTAATTGACTATAAAGGTGTGGGTTTATTTCTGGGATCTTTATTCTGTTCCATTGATTCATGCGGCTGTTTTTATGTTGGCACCATGCTGTTTTGATTACTATGGCCTTACAGTATTATTTGGTATTAGGTAGTATGATTCCTCCAATTTTGTTCTTCTTTCTCAGGATTTCTGTTTCTATGTGGGGTCTTTTGTGCTTCCACATACATTTTTGAAATGTTTGTTCTAGTTCTGTGAAATATGGCATTGTAATCTTGATAGGAACTGCATTGACTCTATAGATTGCTTTGGGTAGTATGGATGTTTTAATGATGTTAATTCTTCCTATCCATAAACATGGTCTGTGCTTTCACTTACTTGTATCTTCTTCAGTTTATTTCTTCAATGTTGTAATTTTCCAAATTACATTGAAATGTAATAGATCTTTTATTGAAGAAGAAATAAAACAATGCAGGGATAGTGGTTAATTACACTAAAGGGAGTAAGAGATTTGAGGGGGAGAAAGCTAAGACTGCAGTGAACAGATTCTTCCAATAAGAGGGGAAGGTATAAATGGAAGACCTGCCTACAATGGTAAAACAATGAAAATAAGCTCACTCTCAACTGCTCTTTAGGATGGTGCTACTGAAGAAGAAATATAGAAGCCATGACTAAACCTGGGATTGGAGTTCACTGAAATAACAGGGGAGGCAGGAGGCAACAGATAGCAAACTATAGGACTTCTGAGCACACCCATGGCAGAAAAGTTTGAAAGTCCCTTCTTATAGCTTCAGGTATTATTCATAAGAGTGACTAGAAGGCAGCTATGCTCATGACTCTCCCACCAGTGCACACATGAGATGAAAGTCTGAGTCTGGAAGGGTAGAATAGCTCTTTGACAAGTGTACCCTGGGAGACAGTAATGAGAGCTGAGCCTCAGGTAGGCTTTCCTTTGCCACAGGTGACTTCACTGGTCACTACTGCACATGCATGTTGGGGTTACCTTTATCTTTTGTGTAAGTTGTACCAAATCATCTACTTCTGTTCTTTCATTTGTACAATTCCATCAAATAAAGTAATTTGGTACTTCATCCCAAACTGCCCCTCAAAAAAACAAATAGCACAACTGCTTATAGATTATACAGCTCTAGCCAGTGGTTAGAGAACACCTGGGTGGATTGAAGAGCTGTCTCTGAAGGGGAGCGCTGAATTTCCAATGCCATTGTTAGGTGATCTGAAGACCATTTACTGCTGTTAGCCATGACTGTATTTCTCATCTTCTGAGACAGGATTCAACCTTGGCACTACTGACATCTTTGGACCAGAGAAGTCACTGTTATGGGCACTTCCCTGTGCATTACAAAATAGTTAGCAACATCCCTGGCTTCTTCTCACTAGATGCCCATAGTAGGCCCCAATTAGGACAACCAAAACTCGCCGCACACTTTGTCAAATATCCTCTGGGAGAAGGAGGGCAAGATCATTCCTAGATGAAAATCATTGCTCTGAGGGAATTTGCCAGAAAAATTAATGAAATTAAGACTTTGACGTAACACAGAGCACAGGGAAGAGAAACTAGCAAATAATAGAACAGGTCCAGTTCTGGTTTAGACGCTGTTCCAGTGTGAGAATGCCTCCAGGTAGAATTTTCACCAAGGGTATAAGATTCATTTGAATAATAGATACATTGGGCAGTCAGAACCCAATGACTTCATATCTCTCATCATCAATTACAAGACAGAATCAAGAGGAATGTGCTAAAGAAATACATGCTTTGGCCCATTAAAAAAAAGATTTAAAAATACCAAGATACAACAAAGAATGCTAATCCTAAAAAAGGTAAAGGAAGAGGTCAAAATGAAGTAGCAGATTTAACCTGCTAAAATTCATCTAGGTGTTTCTGAAAGGGGGAATAATTCACCTAAATAGAGCACAAGAGGGATATCTGCATCCATGCATAAAAATATCGAAGGAAAAATATTTTATGCTGTTTTTAAAGTAGTACAAAATTTTCAAGGCCCGGACAATAAAACAATGCATTGAAAGGAATAGGCTTGGAGAGATGGCGAGGCTGAGGGAATAGAGCTCCCAGGCTCCTGGGCACAAAAGCAGCAGCAGCAGCAGCCTGACTCACTGCCTCAGGGAAACAACCCACTCAAGCTGATTCTTCCGAACGGAGGAGGGAGCAAGGAGAGCACTCCTCTAGCAGGCAGGTCCCCAGACCCAAGCAGCTCCACAGCAAAAGGCAGTAGCAAGGTGGATTCACACTCACTCCCTCGTCATCAGAAAGATAAAGGTTATGCCACCAGATAGAACTCACAGTCGACTCAATGCTGGCAATGCTGGAAACACACAAGTACATGGAGAAATGAATAGATTTTGAAGATGCTGGGTATGAATGAGTTCCATCTCAAATAAGACCTGGTGGCTGGCAATAAGAGTATGGTAAATTTCTAGATCTTGTAAAATGGCAGGGAATCAAACATAACCTCCTGGAAAGAGGCCATATTCTTAAAGGGTTTCTATTCACCCACTAATTGGGAGACTTCAGAGACGTGAGTAAGTTCAAAGGTGTGGTTTCAGACAATAGGTGCAGGTGGAATGTTACCTGGCAAATCTGAAACACGAGTTTCACTTATTTGGATACAAATGATATTTCCTGTGGTGCCTGGCAATTGTCATGTGGATTCAGACTGTGCTAAAATCGAGGTTCTGAGAACACAAGATTTTTACTTGGGTAACTATTTTTTCATCCACAGATTAGCTTATTTTCAATTTTTAGGGTGTAGGGCTGATGCTAAAATTTTCCTTTTTGACCTTTCAACTCTTAGGGTTGTTTAAAAAGTTGAGTACCCAAGAGAAATTTGACAATGAAATAATTTAACTTCAGAGGGTTTAGAAGAATTATTTCCAAGTCAATTAAAAACAGCCCAGGATTCTGTCATTGGAAAAACCTTGATCCTAACCCATCATCTCTGCCTGGAGGCGAGTGGAATTTAATTTTTGGATTTTAATTTCTCCGCAAATTTAATTTTGGAATCAGGTTTTATATTATTCAATTTTTACTGTTACAGGTATTTTTAAAAGCAGCTACTTTGACTCACTGCATAATTCTTGGTGAGTTATTTTTAGTTCCATAGGATTTGTCTTTCTTTCTTTCTTTCTTTCTTTCTTTCTTTCTTTCTTTCTTTCTTTCTTTCTTTCTTTCTTTCTTTCTTTCTTTCTCTCTCTCTCTCTATTTCTTTCTCTTCTGACGCTTCATTTCTTTTTTTTGCTTTTTCTTCTTTGATTTTTATCTACTTGAGAGCAGTTCTTATTTGTCTTTTATTACAGCCTCTTCTGTTTATTGCTGTCTCTTCCATTATTTCTGACTTGATAGAAACCACCAGTCCTGGTTGTTTAGCCTGAGTACCCTCCCTTGAGTTTTTGAGTCCTTTAAGTGGGCTGCAATTTTTCCTGGCCTGATTATCTGTGTCAGTTCCCTTGAACTTGTACAGTTCAGGTTCCTGGGGTCTCTAAGGTAGCATCAGAGAAGTTTTTGTTCCTCTGGAACTGAAAGTATAATAGTTTAAAGATGTAATTTTTCTGCTTAGGCAGGAAATCTGGGCTGAGAGGATTAAATGCTATCCAACTACACAGAATGTGTGGCTGCTCCCAGGACTGCTGGTCCCCACAGAATGAGGAATGTCTCTCCCAGAACCTGCCCCCCAGCAACAGACAATGCAGCCCCTGTCATCCAGTCACATAAATCCACTGGCTTCTACCAGAAGGACCCTTGCAGGCAACTGCCCAAGGCTGTCCTGTATCTTTGGCTCCTCCCACTCAAAGGCGCAGACACTATTGGGAGCCAGCATTCTTTTATTGTCTGAAGATTACATAGTCTGGGACTCCAGTCAAGCTCTACTGAGAGGCTTATTTCAGCTTTTCATTCCAAGGAAGACAAGAGGGAAAATGTCAGCAATATGTACTAATATATTCACCTTCAGAAATCTGCTTTCCCCCTCTCTTATTCTTGTATTCTCAAAAGGACAGCTCTTCTAGCTCTTATATAAGCCTTTGATACATGTTTATGTAATTGAAATATTGATCATCCTGAAAAATACGTATTTTAAAATTCTATTAAAGAATCTGTTTCCCTTTATGAAAATAAAATCTTTGATCTGGTTCATACAAACCCAATGTTCTTTTGTAAGTAACTCAGTATGTGTACCAATTATAAGCTGGTTTGTAACTCATGAAGCAACAGTTGATAATATTAAGCTTTCAAAATATTCTCCAATGGTTAATTATCCAACAAATATGTATCAAATGCCTATTAATCACCATTGTTTTGGGTTTTGAGGACACAGCCATGAACAAAGTAAACAAAAATGCCAGTTATTTTGGCATGCATGCAACACCCATAAAACAACACGGCCATTCAAACAATAAGGCATCTTCACTGACCTCACAGGGAATTTCAGTGGGGAGCACCAGTGCCAGGGGGGTGCTGCTTCTTGAGACTTCTGGTAATTCTTCAGCTTGATTTTTCTCACTTACTCCCCCAGAATGTTCCCTTTTTACATCTGTTGCAATATTGAACTCAAGGTAGTCCTCAGAACCTAGACAAAGGTGCAGAAACACAGATTATAATACAGCTAAGGCCATTTTATTTCTTCCACTGTTAAAAAGACTATATGTTGAACAATCCATTTAATTAATATACAGAACAAGCAAACTGAGTTAAAGAGCCAATGTTGATAATTGAAATTGCTCCACAATTTTACCAGTGGTATAACCTTAGTGACTAAATGGAAGCGACTATGTACTAGTTAAAGGTTTTCCCCACAAAAATCCAACCACCATCTAATATTTTCCCTTACTATTAAAACAGCAATTCTAAAAAAATATGTAACTACATATTTTCAGTGACTGTAACTTAAAAAATTTGTTTTATTTTAAATGGGAACAATTTAAATCAGAACAATTAATTTACCTTTCACATATATTTCTAGTTTTTTAAAACAAAAACTTAACTAGGAGACACTTACTAAATAAACTGGTAGAAACATTAGTCTAATAGTGAACTATTAGTGTTCATCAAAGTGTTAATGTGTTCCATAATAAAAGTATTCCATATCTTGGTTTCTTTATGGCAGTTTTACTAAAACACTGAAATATGCTAATGTAAACTTAGAATTTCAGAGAAGAAAAACAGTATCTGATTTTTTAAATTTTAACTTTTAGTAATTTATTATTTGGCCTTAAACATTAAAACATCTTTTGTATTAAAGGGGAAAGTGTTGTGTTTGAGAGAGATAATACTATTTTATTACTCAATATTTCAAAGCCCACAGCATCATTAAGGCACAGAACCAGTGTGGCTGAAACCAAGGCTCTAACAACCAGATCACATTTGTAAAATCTTAGGCCAACTTCAAACGCACTCATCAATTTCTAAAACAGGGACTTGGAAAAAAAGAAAGAAGACCCTGAAGAGCTAGAAACTGGCCAGACCCTGGGCAAAAGCCTTGACATTGCTAAGAGCAGTATCAACATCGGACAAGGCCCCTCTGTCACCGTGATGGACCACATTAGAGGTGAGACCACTATGAAATCATGTCTGGATCTGGGCAAAAACTGGACATTGATCAAACCACAAACATGACTGATTACTCCAAGTTCTGGCTCCTGTGAGTGATAATATCACTTCTTCACCAGCTCCAGCCTCAGCCTCTTCTCTCTTCTCTTGCCTTCTGGATAGATAAGGTAACAAACTGTTCCCAGTTTGCCAGGCATTTTCTTGGTTTGGGCACTGAAAATGCTGTGTCTCAGGAAACCCCATCAGTCCTAAGCATACTGGGATAGTGGATGACCTCCTTCTCGGTAAGAGTTATGGTTGTACCAAGTCATAACATTACACTTGCTTTTTGACGTAAGCAAATGATAGCCGTGCTTTTTTGAATGCTCCCTCAAATCACTTAACATAAGCCTAAATCCTACGGTTAAGTCTTTTTTAAAAGCCTCTTACTGAGACACCCTACAGTTTTCCGTGGTGCCCTCTATCAATTACAAATAGCAGCAACAACAACAAACCAAATAGTTCAAATACAGGTGTGTTCCTAGTGATCTTTGGCTAAGGGACATTGACAGGAAAAAAAGGAAGAGCCAAGAGCAATAAAGATGGAAATAGCTAGAATTTAGTCTCATGGTATCCAAGAAAAGTGAAGCCACCAGTTTCATACAGGCAATTCCACCAGGAAAGCAGAGTACAGAAGAGTTGCCCTCTGGAGAAGAGCTGTCCCCATGCCAGGTCTAAGCAGGGGGTCTTTTCCTTTCCCTGCCTTAGGAAAGCTGCAGAATAGAGGCACAGAACGCCTGGGATTTGCAGATTTCTCCCAGTACTAGCCTTGCTTGAAATGAATTTTTTAAAAAGCCTCTACTTCTTTACCAAGAAAAATGAGGCATTTTGTATAAAATGCCTCATTCTCCCGGTCTTGCTGTGTCTCCCTTTCACACATACACACCCCCCTCAAAAATATAAAAAGTTACAGAACTGGCTCCATAATTTTGTGAATTGATGAAAGAACAAATAAACTGATTGCATTTAATATACTTTGTAAGAATGAGGTATAAATTGTTCCACCATAGAAATATGTGGGATGTTTTCTGAAAATCTCTCTGTGTTATTAGATTAAGAAGAGCTATTTTATTTTACCCTAAGGACATCGTCATGGATGTACAAGATGATTTATCTCTGTGAGTGTTCACAGAAGCACAGTTTATAACTCAGAAAATTGGAAGCAGTCTGAGCACTGAGAGACCAGATAAAAATATGTAATGTCACTAATAAAAATTCCATCAAAGAATATTTAACAAGAAACAAGTTTATAATATAATTGAAAAAATTCAAGTTGCAAAACTTTCAATTTAATAGGTTCCCACTTCAGTTAAAAAACAAAAATAGGAAGTCTGGTTTCAGATATCACATGTAAGGAACCCATTTGTAACAAAGAGAAAACTGAACAGACTAAAAAACTTCTACAACTATTTTTTTTTACTTTTGATCCTGAAGAAAGGGGCAGACACAGTGTCATTGCTGACCCCAAGGTTGGAGAGGCAGGCAGGCGAATACAGGAGACTCAGCTAACCAGAGAGACTCAGGGGTGGAAAGCACCCAGGAACCAGTGCTGGGCTGGGGAAAACGGAACTGTAATGAACAAATTGCAGGATGCTCAACACTCCAGGGGAATCTAGTCAAAGCCAGGAAGAAAAGAAGATGTTATTTTGAGGTTTATCTTTTTCAGGAACTTAACCAGATTCCCAGAGTGAATATTGGAGAAAATTTTTCTCCTGTGTCTAGCAAGAGGAAAGGAAAAGTAACCACTTTGTAATAGCCCAGATACTTCTTAGCACCACCTGCCCTGCAGGGGAATTAGTTAACCAAGGCTCCCATCACTGTGGTATTATGGGAGTCTAACTGACCTAGGGAAGAGAAATAACCACCTGCATCCCACCACAGGCATTCAGCACCACAAAACAAAACTGTGAAGCCCTTATGAGGTTCATAGTCCAGAAGCATAAGCTCACTAAACAAGGGAGACCTAATTATAGGATTAAAGAAAGCTTCCCCTCCCTCTATACCTTTTACTACCATATTAATAAAGACCAATTTTCAGCGGTTCCTTTCACCCCCAGTAAAAGGAACCCTCCATTTACATCATGTGTGCGGACTGAGAAAAAATTGTAAGGAGTATCAAAATGGGAAAAACAATTTGATGAGACAGACTAAGTATTAGAACCAGACAAGGCAGAGATATTGGAATTATCGGATTAGGAATCTGAACAACTATCTATGCTAAGGGCTCTAACAGATAAAGTAGACAACCTGAAAGATTGGTTATGTAAGCAGAGAAAAGGAAATCCTAGGAAATTTTTTTTTAATTTTAGAGATCAAAAGCACTAACAAAAATAAAAAATGCCTTGATGGATTTCTTAGTAGACTGAGCATAAACTGAGAAAAGAATGTTTGAGCTAGAGAATATCTCAATATAATTTTAGAGAACTGAAAAGGAAATAGATCAAAGACTTAAAAAGACATAATGGAATATCCAAGGACTTTGAGAATCCTATAAATGGCATAACATATGTGTAATGGGAATACCAGAAGGAGTAGAAAAAGGCAAAGGAACAGAAGAACAATAGTAACTGTAAATATTCCCAAATTAATGTCTGATACCAAATCACAAATCCAACAAACTCAGATAATATGAAGTAGGAAACATCCCAAACAAGTATAGGAAGGAATGACACTTAAAATGTCAAAAAATCAGAGATAAAGAAAAAAATTCGGATAAAAAGAGCTAGAGAAAAAGAAAACCTTACCTACAAAAGAATAAAGATAAGAATTATCTGACTTTTCAGAAACCGTGCAAGCAAGATGACACTGAAGTAAAATATTTAAAGTGTAAGAGAAATGAACCTCCAACCCAGAATTCTGTACCCTGTGAAACTATCCTTCAAAGATAAAGGAAAAATAAAAGTGTCTCATAAAAACAAATTGTTGAGATACTTGTTGTCAATATACTGGCCTGCAAGAAAACTTGAAATTTTTTTAGTGAGGAAGAAAATGATACAGGTCAAAAACTCAGATTTACATAAAGAAGGGAAGAGTATCAAAAAGAAATAACTAAAGGTAAAATTAAAACATTTATTTTTTTATCATAATTGATCTAAAAGATACCATTTTATTTAAAATACTAGCAACAATGTATTCAATTATATGTATTTAAGTATGTATAGTATATATATGCTTATGTATGTTTATATATAAATGAAATGAATGACAGTAATAATAACAGGGATACAGAGGAAGGGACAAGATTATTTTGTTGTTATAAGGGATTAACACTGCCTATAAGGTGGTATAGTGTTATCTCATGCAATGGGACAAAGAGTGCCTTCCTTATTGAGTCGTTTTGATTACATTTAATAATATGTATAATATCGTAGGTCTAGAGTTGGTGCTGAATATTACTTTCCATCCCTTTTTTTCTGATTTCTGATATCAAAATGAATGAACATTATGTTTTTATTTTTAAAAGCTTCTAAATCAATCTTTTTCAGTTTGTATATCCAACTACAATTTAGAGAGGACTACAATATTTCCATAAAATTTCAACACTAAACATCATTATTTTTGTCACATTAAAGACTGTAATACTACCCACCAGTCAGGTAAGTAAACAGATATTTCTCCAAGAGATAAAGGAAACAAGTGTGCTTTAAAAAGAGATATAATTTTTACAAACATTGGTCTAGTCCTCAGCATTCTCAAACAATCATTTGTTGTCTGTAGTGCATTATAAAGCACACAATATAGGAAATATTTCAGTCAAGGATATTGTTGATGGTAATTATTAATAATGATAACAAAACTTCTTACCTATTAGATATATGTAAAAATGAATATTCTTAATACAGCCTAAAAATGTTGGTTTCCAAAAGGAAGAACATCTAGTTTTTTTAAATGCTCATTTTTTCCCTGGCACTCTAAATGCACAAATCTACCAACTGCAATTCTCTCATATGTTAGCCTGAATGTATATTTATATTTTATTCT